TGCTTAAGCACTATTGATTAATAGACTGAAAGGAAGATATGCTACTGCTGTGTTTTGGTTTTATCTTTTTTACTTGTTTCTTTGTTTTCCACAGGTTTCTCTAACTGCAGTCTGGTTAGTTTCCTGAGAAGACAAGTACTGAGCTATTTACCTCCAGAGCTGCAAAGGTCCAGAGAATCTGCATCCAAACCAGAAATCTGTTTGCCCCGAGAATACCTATAAGTGCATATATCTCAGCTACCTAAGCCAGGGGTGGCGTGACCCAGAAGAACATGGTTTTGACTGTTACTGGACATTGCAGACCACGATTTTTTCTGGTCTTCCTTCAATTTGTTCCAGGCAGACTTCTAACAGGTTCTAACAGGTATGCAAAAAACCCCTAGGTGTTTGATTAAAATTCTGTGCCATAGTTGAGGTTAAGAATGGAGTGAAACAGTTAAGAACACTTTGGAAACACAAAGAATGATACAATATAAACAAGCAGATATTTCTTTAAAACACAGCTTTGAAAGATGGACTTTCAAGTAATATATTTTTTAAAGCAAAGTGCCTTACTTTTTTTCTTACTTTATATTTGACTTAGATGGGAATACATTAATTGCATGTAATATGCTTGGAATATGTGGGAAATAACATGTTTTCCATGTGAATCAGCACAGGAAATGATCTGCAAATGAGTAAAACATTGAGAATTCTACAGATGGAGGTTTTTCTTAAAAAATACACAATATTTTTCAACTATAGAGTACTGACATCATGTTTTCTTCAACAGTGAAGCGTCACAGAGATGATTGATGACACACCAGAGACTGAAGAAGAGCAAGAACTTCCTTCTGACCAGCATAGCTTAAGACTGTAATCTGATGCAACATTGATTTAATAGTATCTATCATTGCTGGTGCCAGGCAGTTTTGTCTCCCTTAATTTGCCATTGCCAAGGCTTACCATATTCTCACTAAACACAAGAAATGGTAGATAATACGATGCAACTCAGAGGTATCTGACTCGGTTTTCTTTTCACTGTGATGTAAAATAAAAACCCCATAAAACCAGTGTCTCCTAAATTATGATCTAACAAGACGTTCCAAAAGGCATTTTGATTTTCCCTTGCTGGGGTTAGATATTAAAATAGTGATAAATACTACTACCAAACCCATCAAGTTAATGGTTTTCTAAGATAGAAACTGTGAGAGGATGTTCAAGGGTGTTTAGGAAAATATGTAGTCCTCCATGGAGCTGAACCCTCAGTCTTAAACTTATTCTAGGCACTCACAGTGGTAAAACAGTGAATGGGAGAAAGGAGTATGTAGTCTGCTCCAACACACTATTGATTTGTTCTGAAATTTTGTGAATTATTACTGTTGAATTCATTATTAGAAATGATTATTTTATTGGAGAATTAGCTGCTGTAAGAAGGCCCCATTAATGCAAAATGGATTCTGTATGCACTCTTCAAAGCTCCCTCAAATGTGAAATTTCCTCCATTATTTAATTTGAAAGAAAATTACTGCTTGTGTATCAAATTTTTCTTCTGTTTACTGAGGTGGAACTTAAGTCTCAATCTAGTACAATTAGTAGGACCACTCCAACTCCTGCATTTAAAGTGAGGTATGAAGCACACTATTAATACTCTTTTTTCTTTTTTGAAATCAAATCAATAAACAGATTTTCTTTTGAATATGTTGCATTGCACTCTGGGATGCATGTAAAACATTTGAAAGAGTAAGTTTACTGATATATATATATACTGATTATGATGCCTTGGGTTTTAGCTTTTATATTTTTCAGATTTTCTGCTGCTTAGTGTGTAACTCTGAAACTTCATGTTAGGTGCTAGTAAGTTCTCTTCATAGGGTAGTTAGAAAAAACAATGTCTTCCCAGCTAGAGAATCAAGGACAACTCTTACCCAAAAAGCATAAACAACGGCAAAGGGAAGAGGGCAAGACAGGGGGTTGAGACTTCATAACCTGAAGCTGTGGTTGGACAACTGACCCCAATATGTGGATGAACCACTGCATCCCAAAGGCAGTATTTGGCTCATAGTGCCCAGGAATCAAAGAGGGATGATGCACATATTTTTTATAGTAAGATAATGTTCTAAGTTCTTTAATTTTGCTGTGGAAAGAGCAGCACAGGAAACCTCCTGTCTGTGCTCCATGTGTCCTGCTCACTTTGAAGCTACAGACAGATTCTGCCACATGAGTGAGACTGAAGCAGTCACTGCACGTTCATGCTGTTCACTGCTCATTACGTTGCTGTGTACCAAACAGAGCTGCTTAGTTCAGAGAGTGCCATTTAAGGTTAACCTGGAATCATTCTTGGTGGCAAAATTGAAACCATCTAAAGTCAAGATACAATTTTCCTGGAATCTTTCCTCCAGTCTTCAAAGCATGTAGCTGTCTTTGTCTTTATTCTCATCAATGAGGAATTTAAAGTCATAGACTCATTACTGTTAAGTGTAGCTGCCTGTGAAAAATGCAAACAGAGAGAACAAATAGGCTCCACGTTTCAATCATAAATTCAGAGTCCCTGAACAGAAATGAGGCTTTTTCAGTCTGTCTTTGGGAGCAGGCTTGACAGAGTTTCCTGAAAGCTGCCTATTTTGCTTCTCTATTCCTATAAACTACAGCTGCATAACCTATATGGATTAATTGAATGGCAAACAGTAACATTGAGATCTACCAAGCTGCTTAAAATACAATACAGCAAAACCAGGCATGACTGCAGAAAGGTTCAAAGAGAGAAGATGGCAGGAATAGAGAAGATGTTTATCTTTGAAAATCAGGGCATCTATACTCTAAGGCATCTTAAGGTAATACTCTTAACATCTTTTCTGCCTTACCTCTAAACAGAGATGAGGTGGAGGAGGCCAGAACTATTCACCTGACTCAGACTGCCACCAGACAAAATAGGTCACGTTATTTTCTTCAGCAATTATAAAAGGCTTCTTTAGCTAATGAAGTGGCCAAGATATAGAACAGAAAAACAAAGCCCTCAGCAGAGAGAACAGAAAAAAGTTCAGAAAGCACAGGGGATTAAAGCTGATGTTTCGATGCTTAGAGCTGTGCTTCAGGACTTTCCTATTCCAGGCGGACACAGATTGCCCAGAAAAGAAGGACAGGAGTGTTTATGAACTGGATTTACTCTCTGCAAAGTTTGCTGTCAGCAATAATCTGTCATGAGCAGCAGTATTTTGAAACACTACTACTGAGTCATGCAGATTTGTGATGATATTTATGTCCATACAACTTCAAAAGAAGCTGCCAGAAATTCAAGAAACTTATATTGCAGTATGTATTTGTGAAAGTAAGCTTTGATAGAACATCCATCCACATTACTGAAGCAGACAAATTCTAGGCCTTTTCCCATATATAAACTTATTTCAATTAACCGCTCTTCCAGACTTCCTGTCAATTCCTGGACTGTGAACTTCCCTGATACTGATACTTTACTGCTTCTCTTTTTTATTTATTTTACCACTTTAAGTAAAAAGAAACCTTAAAAGACAGGAAAGTGACACCAAAAAATTGTGATTAAAATTCCTTAGTTTCCTTGGATTCAGTACAGCTGTGAAGTGTGAATATAAGTTAATTTATGGAAGCAAGATTGTCTTGCATCAATTTTAATGTTCTGTAGACAGCTGCCTTTTCAAAAGACCACAAATTCCTCACACGAGTGGGGAGCACTGAGCACCCACATTTGAAAAATGATGATCAGTCCTATTAGCATCTTTAAAGAAATTACCATACTGTTACCTAAAAGGCAGTAACTTCCATGCCAAGGGACTAAGTTTCTGACAGTGAGCTATTCAAATTACAGACATTGAACTCAAAGACCTGTACTACTTCTACATGAAGCTAAATCAGTGTTTAGCTCCTTGTCCTGCCAAAAAGCTTGGAAATTGTGTCTCTCAATTTCACACTGGTAAATTGCCACTCAATTTACTCCTGCTCTACTGTGCTGGGACAAGTAGATGGTAAGCAGGAAGACCAAATCATGTGTATAACACTAGCCGCAAGGATGTGAATTTCCAGGATCATATTTCTGAATAGCAACTCCTGCAGCTTCCCACTGTGGTGGCCATGCAGGCACCACCAGGCACTTGCACTTCTCTCTTGCTCTCTCCTTGCAAAGCCTCATGGATGATCTGAATGGATGCTGGCTTTTTAGGTCTTCACACTGCACTGAAAATTACCTTACAAGCAGGGCTCAGCAGAGAGGTTTTTCCTGCATACTAAAGACAGTAACAAAATTATCTCCTGTCTGTCAGTCAGTCAGTCCCTCGCGAGAACTTACATACTCATGGACATCTTCAGAGAGCAGATAAGCGTATCTTTCAAACACATAAAGTAGTGCAAGGTTTGTGCATAGGAGGGATCAGGTAGAAGAACCCCAAGAAAGTCTGCAGTGTAAATTCGGCTGGTATATTTGGTTTTTGACCTAGTCTCCCAAAATATTCATCCTAGATAGCCAAAACTCACACCCATACAAGCAGATAAGAGGCTACCACCCAGCAGATGCTACTGCTTGTCCCTTAAGTGACTAGTGGGACAGCTGGGAGAGGTAGGTATGGTCACCACAGTGAAAGGGAACTGAGGGTGATGCAGGGTGTGAGGGCAGACATGAGGAGAAAGTGAGTTAAAATTACTGCTGTGGGAAACAGTGAGGACAGTGGGCACATTTGCAATATGGATTTCTGCTGCTTCTAGTGTAGCATACAACTTGTGCTTGGTGCTCAGTATAACCTGAATGACAGAAGAGTTTGATTCCAGCTGAATCCCTCACCTGTAATTTGTGATAACAATATGTGCCTACAGGGCAAGACATCTGTCAACAAACGTAGAACTTGTGTTAGCCTGTGGCAGATACGACATAAATCCACAATGTCTCTGCATGAATATTCTCAAGGAGACATCTGGGCTCACAGAAGTTAGAGAAAGGTCATCCTGCAAGTTCTAGCATGGACACACAATGAGATTTAAAACAAAATGTTTCTTACCAACAATCATATGGTTGCAGACATCACAGAAGGTTGGTTTTTTGAAGATGTGCTCCTGGAAGATGTGAGTCTTGTTTTCTGGCAGCTGTTGGGCTCTGGTGGGCGAAGATGCCTGGCTCTCTGAGTTGGGGAGTTGCCCAGTGCTTGTGCTCACCTCAGGCATCAAGTCTACTTGCAGTTTCACATCACTATTAGTCCTCTGGAAGAAATTGTCTGCACTTTTACTCCGCAAGCTTTTCGTCTTGAAGGAGAGGGATCGTTTCAGTTTCTGAAGCTGCAACAAATAAACCAGTTATAACTACTATTTTTTCTACTCTAAAAGCAATACAAGGCTCCTGATTGTGGGGTGTGTTGCTGCTGAGTAAATCTCGGAGCTTCTGTCAGACCTTGAACCACCTGAACAATAAAACTGACTTTAAAATTTAACTAGCAATTTCTGAGCAAAGAAAACACATCAGAAAACAATCTACCCTACATATGTTTTCTGATGGATGATAAACTTGATAGTCCTAATGAATGCTTCTTTTGGTCTTTATTTGCAGATATGACAGTAAAGATGTATTGCTGCAAGATGTAGGCATTAGAGAATAGACACTTTGTATTCAAGCATGAGGGAACTTAGAGCACTCATCCTCTAAAAATACTTAGTCTGTAAAGCCATTACAAGAATAGCTGTTAAATGGTAGTACATGACAAGTGAATTCAGTAAATATATTTGATATACTTATATTTCTTGACTTTGGCTGAAAAAGATTATATGCATTTTATATTAAATATATTTTAGATTATATACATTTGATTAGTTTTGACTAAGAATTCTACTTTTATTTATTTTTTTAAGGACAGAAGTCTTAACAGCAGTAAAATGTAATTAGTAGGCCAATTGATAGTTAATGCATTCATTAATACTAGTTAACACACATTCACATGTGTTCTTGTAGGTTGTATTGTGTGTTGATTGTCAGACTATCAAGCACCACAATAAGGCATTACTAAATTAGAGTTATTAACTCACAGTCTTTATCTGTAAATGCTCTTGTGCAATATCAGCCATCCTCTCTTTTTTCATCCTCCTCCCTAATTTCGTATAAGGCTGAGAAGGGTACTGGCTGAGGCATGGAAATGATTAGGAAATTAGCCACATGAATTTGCGGCTTTGTCAGCTCCAACATCCCACAAGGACAGGCCAGGTAAAATGAAAGCAGGCTCTGAGTCTGCTTTGTGTTTGCCCTCTGTGAAGTGCAATAATTCTGTATCACCTTTCACTCAGCATTTTTCAAACCACTGCAAAATAATTTCAATCACCACTGCTATTCTCTGGGTGACTGCGATGTAACAACTGAAATTTTCCATGCCACTTAGGCCGTCTGTGGTAACCAGCAGGAATGGTTTATATTAGAAACTGTTTATGTTAGAAGCAATGATTATTTGGAATCATCATTCACACTAATATAAAGGGAGTTTACATGCTTTCCCAAAAAAAGCATAGAACTGGTATGTCACGCTTCAGAGTACTTGCTCTCCCTAGATTCTGTTCCTGATCCATCCATTTTCTTTATGATGTAGCTGACAGCACACTGTTGGAGAGGAAAGTCGAGACACTCTGAGGGGAAGTCTCTTTTCCACCTTCAGGAACAAGCAGCTTGTACCTGGAGAGGGAGACACTAGCTCTCTACCCAATGTTTCACAATAAAATCCCAGAGTCAAGTAAACAGACAAAGAGCTGCTGCTTTTGGCTTCAGTTAACAGTGTTTAGGTTTGCTACACGGAAGCAAACTGCATTCTACTTCCTGAGCTGTTCGTCCACAGTGGCTTTGGGAGTAGGGAGGCATCAGAGCCTGGGGCCCATCCCACATGTACCTCTCCCACCTGCAACTCCTTCAGCAGAGGAGCCTTGGATCCAAAAGAAGGAAATACCTATTTGCAAGACACTTTCAGTCTCTAGGGGAATGTGAAAATAAGAGCAATTAAGTAATTAAATGCCAACTATGAGGTAAGTGCAGTTTATGATTTCTGATACTCTTTCAGCTGAAGCATAAGCCACGGACTGATTGAGCCTAAAACTCACTGTCAGCTGCAACATCAGAATGTGAGATCTTGGATGTTAAGTTACCAGCTCTTGAAACCACTGAGGTTATTCAGTTCCGAGATTACTTCATCTCCACAGTGACAGCCAGGAACTCAGCAATAATTCACCTCCTTGCTCCTGAAACATTTCTCACTGAAGTCAGACCTAATTAGTATAGCAAAACACAGAGAATTACAACACCACAAGGTAACTGAAATGGCATCCATTATTGATTTGCCATCCATGAAGCTAACTAAATTTCAAAACGCTGTTCCTGCCAGAGAAGGAAACCTAAGCTGTGCAATATGGTATTTTTTTTATCATAAAACAACAGTCCTGCTAATTTGGACAATGTATGAAGTACATTTTAAGAGACTTTGCATTTGCTATCCTTATCCCATTATCCTGTGCACAGCTATTTACCAGTTAAGGGGTCTACCAGCAGCTTTTCCCCCTCCAAGCAGAAAAGTCAAGTTTTCCAAAGAAGAATAGTCCATTATTTAGGCTATACCTGCCCAAACTTATGGATAAACACTAAAGAGCATGCAACTGTGTGTATTCTGTGCATTCCCTCCCAGAATGTTCAGAGGACACATACCCAAGAATGAGTTGAGCAAGTTACTTGCACATATTTGGTAGGCTCTGTACAAGCTGATAGTCCTTTCGGAAATTCACTGAGAATCATTATGTGTTCATGTGGTTTAATAATTCCCAGACAAGATGGGCATCCTTGTCATTAGGCAAATACAGATTTCATGTCCATTTGCATTCAAACTGGAAGACACTCACATGTTTGGCTTGCACTGCATACCTAAAACACCAGTGGAATTCTGGGACTATTACATCCCAAATAGGTTATATGTGTAGAGAAGTGACTCTGAGAAAATGAAGAATATCAGCAAAATTTAGCATTTTGCGCAGCTAATTAGACACTTTTACTGTTAAAAATACCTCTCAGATCAGCAGGTTTTACGCCCTTCATGCGTAAGAGAGAGTATACAGGGCCACAGAAGATTGGCATCTGGTTTTAAAATCAGATCCAACTTTCTCATATTAGGCTAATGAGAGAATTTGAAATAGGGCAATGGTATGTGATTGTTTACTTAAGAAAAGTTGGCCCGAGCAAGGGTGAGGACTGGTTGTTATACATATTGTGTAAACTATAAAACCATAAAAGCTTAAATAATTATTAGACTGCAGTTGAGTAAGCATAATTTCCCTTACTTAAATATCACCATCTCCTCATTTTGAAATTTTTTGTGGATTATCCCCATGCTTTTATTGCAAGATTTCAAATGTAATTAAATACAGGCATGTAATATATGTCTGATTTTGGTCTGCTGTAAATGGAGTTAATGTACTTGTGATGCCACAGTTGCTATAAAATTCGCCTGAGGGAGGAATCAAATCTTTCAACTGAGAGGAACGTATGCAAATATTATTATTTATACTTTATTTCTGCAGAATGAATGAGTCCAAAGTTAAACCTTATGAAGAAACACTACAAAACTTTGGGAAAAAATCCTGCAGCTAGGGTTGTTCTACACTCAATACTTCAACTCTTCACTGAAAAATCATGTATCGAGACTGAAACAACCTTTAAATCAAGCACAAAAAGGCTTTAAGAAACATTTGAAATAAATCTCCTAAGACTTTCACATTTTCTCCATTGTGAGCAAGGCTACAATTTAGTTTTTATTTAAATGAAAACAACATTCCCAAAAGCACAGGAGGTTTTCTAAACTTATGGCAGCATCACGAGACTTCCCAATGTTAACACTTCAGAAATATGAGTCCTTGATTTTAAAGCCAGGATGTTCCTGTGGTTTGAAATTAGAGTAAGGGGAAAATCTTTGTTTCTAATTAAAAGCTTTTCCGTCACACAGATTCTCAGTGACTGCACATATTAACCCTACAGGCAAGGTAGAGATAAGCGCAACAGCTCAACCTCAGAGTCTAATCAACCTCTTTTATTCTGTATCTTGCATCACAATCTCAATTTTCCTCCAAGTCACTGAATGTTCATGCTTCAAGGGATCAGAAAGCTCTGTTATCAGCACTCCTCCATTCCTAATTCCTCTATACTACAACTGTTTAATTGCTATAAGCAGAAAACAGGAGGAAGCAAAAGAACAGATACTCAGATTCATTGCCAGTGTTAGCTACGTGCTTCTGCTTTTGTTGTGAATGGGAACTGCACCTGCCCTCACCAGGACTTTATTTGATGTAATTGTTGCAAGTACCCAATACTTTTCTGCAATTTTAATTTAAGAAGTTCCCATGAAAATCGGAAAAATATAAGTGATTTGAGCTGTTTTATAACCCCTAGCTTTGCAATTACAAAGATATGCATCCACCCTGCAGAGTACTTTATTCAGGCTCCTAAGTGCTCTCTGATATGTAGGAATAATTTTCCCCTTGATTCTCCAGCTTGTCTACATTAGCAGTCAGCAGGGCTCAGTAGAAGCAGACAGGAAGAATGAATCAGGGGCTGTTGAGCACGCAGCATGCACGCATCAGGTTATTTCCCAACACGCTTGGTATTGTCGCCTTCTTGGTCACTACTAACAATCTCTGCTAGCAGCAGAGGCTGCTGTGCAGTGTGAGGCCAATGGGGAGATTGTTTCGTACATTTCCACTCTTAAATATTTTCCAGGAGAAATTAATAAATGAGTCCCACTTATCAACCCTAATTCACTGACTGATTATATAACCAAGCCCTTATTTTCAGACATCAGCTGTTTACTATATATTTACTGGACTAGCAATAAACAAAAAAAAAAATATTGCTTGCTGTTCTCTATCCCTTTCTATCCCTTTCTTTACACTGATGTTAACAATCTCATTAGATCCACTACAAATAATTCAGGATATTAACAGAGTTGGAATAACCATCAAGCCAGTTTGAATCCTGCAAGCCTTATAAAATGTAGCTATTTTGTTTAGAATGCAGTCTAAAAATGCTCTGTCAACAGATTTCACTCTGCTGTGAGATAAACATCCATCTTCTGTAAGGAATCATTTCCTCTTCCTTGCAGCTTCTTAGAGTAAATTTCTAAATTATTTGGCTCTCACATTGTTATAAAAGAAAGACTTCAACACACATGGCTCAGATGATGTTGTGTAGAGATTTGCTAGAGAGAATGTCAGGTACAGGGGCTATTACCAAAAGGTACTCGGACCAAGAGCCTTTCAAATAAGGGAGA